ATGGAGAGGAGTCAGTCCTTTGCGATGTCAGCAACTCAACTGAGACTGTTAGTGTCAAATTTCTTTGGACTGGAAGTCAGGGATTTCCAAAGGGATTTTTTTTTTCTCTCTCCATTTTGTGGTTGGCTCTAGAATCAAAATTCCACTAAGGCTCTTTGAGGATTCTGTACAGCGTGCCCATTTTTCTTACTGTGAAGTAACTGAAACTCCCCACCTGATCGGGGCAATTGGAAGTGGTTGTCATTAAATACTTCCCAAGCACCACTTTGGACTGTCACAATCAGATGAGCAGAATCTTAGCACAGAGTATTAGCTGAAAGGAATGTGGCAGGGAGAGGGGGAGGTGAGTGGTAACAGGTTTCTTTCTTGACTGTTGTTAGGAAATCATTTAATGAATATAATTCTGTAGCATTTTTTTCCTTAAGGATATAAATCTATTCTGGACCTCAGAAATACCTAAACAAAATTTTTTTAAAAGTTTCTATTATTCACTATTAATATGAATTAAAAAATAAGATTATGTATGATTTCTCAATGTGAACATTGACATATATTTAATGTGGATATTAGTTTATTCAGAACTAAATATCATACTTCATTATAATACCAGTTGCTAAAAAGAATCGTCCTTACAAATAGTTCTGTTCAGCTTAATTTTTTTAAAAAAACTTTAAGATGACTTAGGAAGCTTATGTAAACTTCTGTAGCATGTTTTGCTTATAAGACATTCCTTCTCAGTGTCTTCCACATTATGCGCACAAGTAATAATAAAAATATAATAGCTGACGTGTATTTTGCCAGGCAGTGTTGTAACATGTGTTACATCATGTTAACATATTTACCCGTCATAAGCATTCTATGAAGCAGTTGTTTTGATTCCATGTCAGAGAGGAGTAAATAAGATTGTGACATGATTACACCAATATCGTTAATTTAAAAGCCATGCAGTTAGAAAGTGACAGAGCCAGGAACAGAACCGGGTGACCAGTCCCTCAGCTGACCCTTCCCGATCGGCTGTGAGCTGACAGCCAAACCCATGCGCTGGGTGGATCAAAGCCCACAAAATATCCGGATGTGAACAGAATCAGGGTGAGTCGGCCACCCTGCCCGGCCCCGAGGACATGGTGGCAGTAGTGTGGCAGCCCAGCAGGCCCGAGTGTGGGTGGCCACAGGGAAGAACAGTTGGTTGGATCTTTTGATTGGAAGAAGTAAAATTATTGAGAATTTCTGAAGAAAAGTATTCATGTAATTGATATTCTTAAAGTCCAAACTGCTTAGGATGATAGACATGGTATCTGTTTCCAGCTCAACTCTCCCAGACACCCTCCCCCTCATCTCTCACTCACTGTACCAGAACCTTCCCTGACCCTACTGCAGGAGCACACAGACTCGCCCATCACTCCCTAACAAACCGTATCTAAGTATTTGCAGAATAACTCTAGGCCTGGGCCGGCCCGGTGGCGCACTGGAGAGTGCACCGCTTGGGAGTGTGGCGGCGCTCCCGCCA